ATACACGCAAAAAAACCTTAGCCCCAGCTCTGTGGGTTTTTTTTTTTCAATGATTTTTTAAGATTTTTTTTTTTTTTTTTTTGGTCTTTTGAGACGGTCCCCCTGTAGCCCCAGCTGGCCTTGAACTCACTATATAGACCAGGCTGGTCTTGAACTCATGGGGTTCCACCTGCCTCTGCCTCCCACGTGCTGTAATTAAAGGCATCCGTCACCACACCCAATTCTACTTAAGATTTTTTTACTTTTATGGTAGTACAAAAATCTCCCCACACAACCACCCTGATTTACCTTTAGTATGTGTTCAGTTGCCCCAGCTGGCCTTGAACTCACTATATAGACCAGGCTGGTCTTGAACTCATGGGGTTCCACCTGCCTCTGCCTCCCACGTGCTGTAATTAAAGGCATCCGTCACCACACCCAATTCTACTTAAGATTTTTTTACTTTTATGGTAGTACAAAAATCTCCCCACACAACCACCCTGATTTACCTTTAGTATGTGTTCAGTTCATATTTGATAGCATACTAAATACCCGTTCTTTTCTTGTGTTTTATCTCTGTGTGTTGTATGTGTCTGTGGGTACATGTGGGGGTAAGGGTGGGGTGCCAGCTTATGAGGCCAGAGGTTGACATCTATTGTCTCCCTCTACTGCTTTTCACCTTATTTTTTGAGACAGCGTATCTCTTGCTGAACCCAGTGCTGGGATCATAGGCATACACCACGTACCTGGCTTTTATGTTGGTGCTAGGGATCTGAACTCACATCCCCATGATTGCACAGCAAGCACTTTTACCATCTTCCCAGGCCTGTCGTTTTATTCGTGAGGCAGTCTTATGTAACCCAGGCCCCAAACAATATATAGTCAAGTATGGCTTAAACTTCTCTGATCCTCCTGCCTCCACCTCCCAAGTGAGTGCTAGGGTTATGGGCATTCACAACCATGCCCAGTTGGTTTATATGGTGCTGGTGACCAAACCCAGGACTTTGTATATTCTAGGCAAGGACTTTACTGAGTAAGCCACATCTCCAGCCCTCTTTTTGTTTCTTTGAGACAGGGTCTCACTATGTAGCCCTGACTGGCCTCAAATAGCGACCCAACTGCCCCGGCTTCCCAAGTGCTAGGATTACAGGCCTGTTCTACCACACCCTAAATGAAGTTAGGCACACTACGTTTTTCATTACAGTACTTCGAACCTGTGGCCTGGGATGGGTGTATCAAGTTGTGACCTCATCATAAGTTAAGGAGCACTGTTGCTTCTCGGGGACACTGGGGAAGCCTATGGCCAGTGCAGGCACCCACCCCCATCTTCACACAGCTAATTTAGGTCAGCCCTGGAAGCTGGACTTTAATAGGATTTTCTAAACTAGGATCTGATGTGGCTGCTTCCTGGTCTGGTCCTGAGCACCACTGTCCTGTCTGCGGCCCCTGCCCCCTACAGTGGGTTAAAGGTCCTCTGGGTTCCTGGGTTCCTGGTGACACTCACAATGTCCTTTTCTGCTTCTTTCCACTAGTTGCTTATATTTCTTCATCTCGAAAACATGACATCAAAGATGATTCTGAGGTAAGCAAATAAAATGCTCATTAACGTGTGTGGTGTCTCTTGTTTCTGGGGCAGTCATGTGATTTCAGAGTGGCCTGGGTATGTTACGCTGTTGCTGAGCTCAAAGGAGACTGCTTTTGTGGGACTGTCCTGAACCTTGGGCCTTGCTGTAAATCCCCTTTGTGAACCCCCAGAAGCCACTGCCTCACAGGCTATTTGGGGCCCACATCCCACCCTCAGTGCAGACCAGGGCTGGCTCTCGAGTTCATTCTTGCCACATTTTATCTGCTCCAAAGCCTCTGTTTGTTGCTTCCTTTGGCCTTTCTAGCTTGGCAAGCCTGAACTGCCCTCTCAAGCAGGCCCTTTCCTAGATGACCCACAGGCTCCATCTGGCTCTGTCCGGCTACATACAAGCTCATACCTACAGCCAGCTTTGGTGATAAATCTGGGAAGACAGAAGAGCTTGCTGCATTCAGCCTTTGCTTCTTACCTCACAGAGCAGACCCCCACTTTCCCCACCCTCACGGAGCAGTTCCCTGCCCTCCTGACCCTCAGAGAGCATGCCTACTCTCCCAGTCTTCACAGAGCATGCTCAAGTCTCCAGCCTGACATGGTGAGCTGGCCCCAAGTCCTAAATCTGGCACATTCCTTGTGGAGGCACCACTGTGTTTCCAGCTCCTCCTTTCAGAAGCCCACAACCTCAGTTCTTCATTGTCTGTCCCGAGTTAGATGGAAGTTAGGCACTGGAACATGAGATACGGCTCTGCAAAGCATGGCGCAGCTCCAGACTGAGGGACAGGCCCACATTGCCCTCCATAGGAGGCCTGCACAGTTCTTGGATTCTGGCGGACGGCACCCCTCCATTCTCTGAACCCCTTTCCTAGGACCTTAAGCCCGTCATTGATGGCGTCGATGGGATCAAAATCTCTCAGGGGCTTGGGCTGCAGGACTTTGACCTCATCAGAGTCATTGGACGTGGGAGTTATGCCAAGGTCCTCCTGGTACGGTTGAAGAAGAATGACCAGATTTATGCCATGAAGGTGGTAAAGAAGGAGCTTGTCCATGATGACGAGGTAGGTGCACACCCTACCAAAGCTGCCTGTGGGATTTAGGGTGTGGACGTCTGTGCAGAGACACTGCCATGCAGGAAGATATCCCTGAAGGCCCTGCTGACATTGGCTTTAGGCAGGGCTCACTGAATTATAGGCTTCCACTTCCAAATTTGCAGTAGTAAAATTTGAGCCCTTGAGCTTGATGCCATCACTCCTGCTGTTTATCTCTTAATGGAAATCTGTATCATTTGCACCTTATGTGGACTAGTGGGACTCCTTGCACTATGATGAACAGTAGCACGGTGAACATTCACACATTTACGTGCAGGTATTTGAGACCATTTCCCATGCTATCCAGTGTATGTCTAAGAGTGGCACTGCTGGCTCATGTAGTAACTCTGGATGTAAGTTATGGAGAAGCTCTCAAACTTTCCAACATGGCTGTACCATTTCTCCCCAGTGGGGCACAGGATTCCTGTTTCTCCACACCCTCACCATCACTTAGTTCTGGCTTTTTGTTTCCCTCCCAGTCGATGTGTGGGTACTCACTGTGGCCTTGACTTGCCCTTCCCTGATGATGAGTGAGGCTCTTCACAGCCTGTTGCCATTGGGTCTTTTGCCATCATACCCAGTGCCGACTCTGTCTCTTGGGAGCAGAGAAAGGCAGATATGTAGATAACAGAGATGCTATTGCGCCACTGCTGCTGGCTCTGAGCAGGTCACAGAAGGGATCCCCAGGCCCCACCCCCAGCCAGGCTTAGGGTTTGGAGCTGGGGCTGCTCTGGGGCCTTTGCTTGCAGGATGCATTTGTACAGTACATAGCCTGGCACACTGACCCCTTCTCCCTGAGTGCTGAGCTCCTAAGTGGGTGGTGATGAACGCGTCATTTGTGGGTCACGAGCAGAATCTGAGCATCATCTTCACTTCTGCTGGGGTGAGGATGTGGGGAAGAAGGCTTCAGATCTGTCCCTCCATCCCAGCCCTGGAAGGAAATAATATCTGCTCTTGAAAAGTGTGTGTGACTTGAACTGATGCACAGGAACCACGTGTGCCCATGTGAGTGCATATGAATGCATGCATGCATGTATGTCTGTGTGCATGTGCATGTCTCTGTGAGAGACCTAGTGTCCTGTGCACCTCAAGGGTGTCTTGCTCACCACCAGGTGTCAACCCTCCTCACAAACTTGAGGGGCTTCCCTGCCCTTCTCACCAGGGACTGGTTCTCCGCTGAGTTACTGTGTCCGGGATGTGGCTGGAGAAGGTGATGGTGGTGAACAAAGCCTGAAGAGCTGCCTCACACTCCCTGTTGACAAATGCCCACGAGGCTCTTGCTTGTCCTTGGGCCTGGTCTTTGCTTGCACAGAGATGACGTTCCTGGGGCACACGAGCTCCTCAGCTTCCTGCCTGTGCTGCCCATCCCTGCTCTCCTTTGGAATCCACCAGTCTCGTCCTGTCCCTCCAGGCTCCATGCACGTTTGTCCAACCCTGTTTACCAATGCTTGGATGGTTTGAAGTAAAATCTTTCTCCTAATGACATTAGTTCTCCAGGGATGACCTTGCCTTTTGTTCCCTTAGGAGTCAGTGTCCTCCGCCAATTCTGCCAAGTCAGCCCTACACAGTAACAGGTGTCCCCCAACACAGCAGCTCCCCCTGTAAATTATAGTTGGTAGTAATGCATTTAGAAAGCCTAGTGGACAGATGCTGCTGGTGGAGGGTGGTCTAGGGCTGGGAGGGATGGAGGTAGCCAACCCTTTGGGTTTCAGTCCAAGCATCTGGGTGACCTAGCTGCTGCTTGAAAAGTGACCCACCTGAGTAAAGATCAGGTCCGGCATTATTGAACTAGCTAGTCTGGAGCCTGAGTGAGGTGGGACTGGGCATCCCCTGCATGGAGAAGGAGCCGCAGCTCCTCCACTCGGCGGAGCTCCTAGGGAGGAAGAGCAGCAGAGGACAGGCGGGCAGAGTCGTGGTGGGCTCCAGCTCACTAAGGGGGTCTCACCAAGAGTTTGCTCGTTTTTTGTTTTCGTTTTCCAAAAACTCCCAGAGAAGATGACACCATTTGAATATGACTCTGTCCCTCTCTTTTCTACACAACCAAGATGAGGGGTTGGGAGCCTCCTCTACCTCTGCTCCCTAGGGCTGGGGTAGGGCCAAGCTGTGGGCTCTGACTTTACAGCATCCCTCTAAAGCTACAGCACCGAGTAGGAGGAGCTGGCCCTGTAGTGGGCGCTTGTCCCCAGGCTCAGCACTGTAGCCTTGGGCCTCGGGATCCATTTAGCCCTCCACCCTCACTGTCCTTGTGTCCTAAATGAATGGGATTCAACCTTCTAAGAATTCTCATAGGGTACAAGGAGGCAGTGTGTGCAGAGACAAGGCCAACAGGACGGCTTGGGACAGGGGATGGGGTGTGGGGTGATGACACTGGAGATGGGGTGATAATGACAGCAGTGCTGGTGGAGGTGGGGTGGATGGGTGATGGTAGTGATGACCAGAAGGTGTCAAAATAAGGGTTGTGGGGTGGATGGTGATAGTGGTGGTGATGGGGTT